CGTTCTTCTTTGTGCACACCTCTTTCAAAAAAAAAAATTCAGCAATTTTTTGTGTCAAACTATTAAGTTATGAGTAATATTGTCGAGATCTAATTTGATGATTAATGATATGTCAAGTCATAATATCTCATTTAAGAAGTTCAACAGTAGCAAATAGAATAATATTATTGGGTCCTATCAACTGCCCATTACCAAGTGAACAAATTATGTTAGATTTTTAGGTTTCAACAACATTTCTCTCAAGTAAGTTATCTCATTTTTATATGCTAACTCACAAACTTAAATGCATATTATGAAAAAGCTTGATAATTTTGTAAAATGTGATTAACTTTTTGATATTCATAAGTTAGATTTTTTTTTTTTAAATTTAGATTTATTTGCAGAGCTAAAAATATAAAAATGGTTTTACAAACAAACAATAATGGTCCGTTTGGTAGGACAGATAAAAAAATAAAAATATGAAAAGTAAGAGTGATATATTTTTCCATCTTTCATGGGATAAATCATTTCTTTCCTCATTTGTGTTTGGTAATAGGGATAAAAAGTAAGAAGGATTGATTTTTTTTTTTTTTTGTGCTTGATAAGATGGAAAAAATATTTTTTATTTTTTTTAAAAATATAAATATATATTTTAGCATTATATCTATATGTGAAATTAATGTATACATAATATATAATTGATAAATATGATANGTGTTTGGTAGGATGGAAAAGTGTAGGATGAAAAATATTTTACCATTATATCTATATGTGAAATTAATGTATACATAATATATAATTGATAAATATGATATATGTATATATCAAAGGATATATAGACAAATAATGTACATTTTAAGACATAATTAATTTTCTATCCAATTTGCCTCGTAATTTTAAAGGTATTGATTTTGGTGAGTTAGTAGGAAAGTTAATTCATCAGCTTTTTCATCCTTCCTATTTTTTTTCGTTACCAAACATAATGTTTTATCTATCCTTCAAATTTTTCATCCTTCAATTTTTCCGTAGTATCAAATAAAGCATTACTTTTCACGACAACCAAATGGGGTGTACGAGGAAAGACGAGTATTAATACCATTTTCAAATGATATGTTGGATATTCCAGCAACTTAACACCATGAGTATACTTAATTGGTATTTGGTCCGACTATGAATANCAATGTTGAAGGGATTAATTTGGGTGAGTTGAAAAAAAAGTTAATCTATCAACTTTTTCATTATTTATATTTTTCTTCCTTACCAAACATGATGTTTTATCTATCCCTCTAATTTTTCATCATTATATTTTCTCATCTTACCAAACGAAGCATAATACTTCAATTAGAACAATAAACCATATAAAAAAAACTAGACTTTTTCTATTCTTTTTTTTTTTTGCAGTACATTAGGCTTTTTTTTCTTGAATATATATATTGTTTATACAATAGTCTTGAGAATACACATACAAATTGCTCTTGCAAATTTTGGATTTTAAAATTAAAATTATTCCTATTTGTGATGAATTATGTCATAAAAATAGAATAAATTAGCCATACTATATATTCAAAAATGATATAATAACAAAACTTAAGTATGGCAGGTTAATTAGTACTTTCGCATCTCAAAATATAGAAAAAATAAATTTTAAACAAAATTTTATTACTTATATAATAATATTAAATTCTAAAATACCACAATTGTAATTTTTGTCTAGGGCCCTGAATAGTATTGGGCCGCCCATGCATGATACTCAAGTTTGATATCTTGCAATATTAATCATTCCAACAAACCTGATGTATTTTTCTCAGGGCAGATTTACAGTGAGGGCCTACTGAAATTTTGAAAATTTTTAGACTACATTTAATATTAAAAAAAAAAAATAGTTTTTGATAATTTGCCCCCACTATGAAAGCTGAAAGAAATCTACTTGACATAATTTGAATTTTTTTACATAGTGATTTACAGAAGTTCAGGTGTACTTGTCCATGGAAGATGGAGGTGCTGGGTTAAAGATGAGTGTTCTTTAGGCATGAATCATGTTTGTCTTATGTTTTGGAAGTGCAAAAAGCTGTCCAACATAAGTAATAGGTTTTATACTTAAATTTGACCTAATTTATTAACCTAATGATACAGTTTAATTGTAAATATTATATTAACACCAAATTTTAANGCTGGCAAGTTGTCCACAGTTTGATTATTAAGATCACCTGTAAATCATTTTTGAGATGACTAACTGTCCACTTTGTCAGAGTTGGCTAAAACTCTGTCTTTAATTGTGAAATATCTTTTGAAAATGTGTTTGTGGTTTAAAAATTTGATCTAATTATTAAAAATTTTATTATAGTCATTAAATTATCACTAAACAGAAATATTTAGTGGGATTTATAGTTAATTCAATAGTTAAAATAAATTAGGTCAATGAAATATGTATCAGTAGTAATGCTCATATTTTATTGCATAGGCCCAAATCGAGTAAATATACTATTTATACTTAAATTTGACCTAATTTATTAACTTAATGATGTAGTTTAATTGTAACTATTATATTAACACCAAATTTCAATGTTTAATATGCCCCATAATTAATCCAATTATTATAATAAATTATATCAACAAATTAAGTTTCAATAACATTGATTGCCAAAAAAATAAATAAATAATAAAAAAAATTACATTGATTGCCCAGATATATTAGCAAGTGACATTAGACTAGTGAGCAATAAAGCTTACTCTCGAGGGGTTAAATCTACTAGCTTGAGCACCAATTTTTTCTTACCCCTCGACAAATCATGTAATCGATTCAACCTATGTCCTCTCATTTTTCTTCTCAATCGACAATGATAATCTTAGATTTATGGTTCAATTGAAGATTTAAAGATGGTTAAGTTTTTGGTTGGCTCTTTTCGTACATCATTACATGGGTTAGGCCTTCCCTGAATATTTTTTAATGATAATATACTTATACAAATGATTAAAATTTATTTTTTTTCAAGAAAATAGTACTAAATTTATAATTTAAATTTATTAACGAGTCTAAGTTGCCCCCACTTTACAAGATTTCAGGCCCCACCCCTGATTTTTCTCGAGTATAACTATCTGACTGGGCCGAGACTTTTGAAGAAGAAGTTGAATTGGGCCCTTGGTGACCAGGCCGATCAAATTTCACTTCCCCTCAATCAATTTACGCATTGTAATTAATTTCTACTCAAAAACACAATTAACATATAGAGCGAAAACGAACGAGGTTGTTAGTGTGTCTAATCCAACCCACTTCGCCTCTAATATTGATAAAACATTAAGGTTACAAAAAATATTATGTGACCTCTTTACAACACCTAACCTAACATCTTTTTGCGATTTTTTTTGTCGAAAAAAAAAAAAATCCTTTTTTAAAATCAAATTCCAAACTAAGGCTTTCCTCAACCTAATGTTTCATGATGTCACATCCAGTGAAAGAACTGTCCATGACTCAGGTGGGTCCGTTGTGGGACATAAGTCGGCCCACAAAAATAAACCACTTTCGGTTCCTCGGGCCACGGATGGGCCACATTAGTGGCTAAGGCCACCTTGATTTTCACTTAATAGCCAATTTTTTTTTTATTGCATAAATAGAAGAAAACCCCATCAACCACTCTTTAAGTGCAAAAATAGGTAATTTTTTTTTATATTAAATCAAAAAATAATTTGAATATATATAATTCATTTTAACAAATGGTACAAATGAATTCCGAAGTTATTATTCTATTTTTTTATTCAATGGCCAGAAATGTTTGAACCAGTTTACAAACAGTTCGATTAATCTCTTTTTCGGTTCGGTTAAAGACAGACTATCCACGTCGGGAATAGAATATTCATAAAAGATAAATCTTTAATGACCTACTTCCAAAAAGTTGTCAAAATTATAATTTAGGATATCTGAATATCAAGTCCGTTCTTATTATTATTTGAGCTATCACTTGAAATTAATTCCAAAGTTTTTATTTGAGACATCCTTATCTTTCCTAAATCTCCAATTAAGCCAACTTCAATTAAAATGATTTTATGAACAAATTGGAAATATGCCAAAATATTTTTGTTTTCAATTCCAAAATTTTTCAATATGCCAAAGTTGCATGTCCCAATTTCAAAACACAAATATTCCTTAGCCCCCCCGTCATTTTGTCTCTTTCCCAAAAGTGTATGTCAAAATGCCCCCGAGAGAAAAAAATTAATAGATTCCCCGAAGAATATAAGTAGATCCAACACCAAAANCTCTCTCTCTCTCTCTCTCTCTCTCTCACACACACACACACTTCTTTTTTTTTTTGGAAAATCTCACTTTGTACCTGAAAATTTTAAAATTTTTTATTTTATATTTCCAAAGATTAATTTTTTTGTATTATATTCTTAATATATTAAAATAATTAGTTTATGTTGCTTATTCTGTCAAAAATGCCCCATTAATATTAATTGAATGAGTAATGATAGCTAACGAAAGAGTTATATTACAATACTTTTAATGCATTTAAAATATAATTTACAAAATTTAATCTTTAAAAGTATAAATGTAAGAATTTTTAAATTTTTTTGGGTAAAAAATGTAATTTGCCATTTTTTTTTTTGAACTTTTTGGAATAAAAAAAATCAGGAAAGCTCCTCATTCTCTACGAACGATCTGAGCCGTTAACGTACACTCCAGTAACGGAGAACCCTCTTTCTCCCTCCCTCCCTCTCTCTCTCTCTCTCTCTCTCTCTCACACACACACACACACTGTGGAATTTACAGTCAATTTTTGCTCGACATCTCTGCCTNCTTTCTCCCTCCCTCCCTCTCTCTCTCTCTCTCTCTCTCTCACACACACACACACACACACACACACTCCTCTTTGGTGATAAGAGTGCAAAACAAATGGTCTAGTCNCTCGACCTCTTTTCTCGTATCTCTATTCGTAATGATAGGGTATTTTCCTATGTGTAACCCTAGTTAGTGTTAGGGATAGGCTTTTGGGGCTCCTTTTCTGTTCAAATCTGGACTCGATTTCATGGGAAACTGTTGCAGATCCCCGGCCGCTGTTGCCAGAGAAGACGTAAAGTCATCAAACTTTTCCGGCCACGGAGACGGACGGAAAGACAAGTCCTCCGCTGCTGGCGCTGGGAAAAAGACGATCACTGTACTAACTGACGTGTCGAAGGAAAATATCGAGGAGAAGTATTTAGTTGATAGAGAGCTCGGTCGTGGTGAGTTTGGAGTGACTTATTTGTGTATCGAACGCGATTCGAGGGAGTTACTGGCTTGTAAGTCGATTTCGAAGCGGAAGCTTCGGACGGCGGTGGATGTGGAGGATGTGAGACGAGAGGTAGCGATAATGAAGCATTTGCCGAAGAATTCCAGTATAGTGAGCTTGAAGGAGGCTTGTGAGGATGATAATGCGGTGCATTTGGTGATGGAGTTATGCGAGGGCGGCGAATTGTTTGATCGGATTGTAGCCCGTGGGCATTACACGGAGAGGGCAGCGGCAGCGGTAACAAGAACGATTGTGGAGGTCGTGCAGCTATGTCACAAGCACGGAGTGATCCACAGGGACTTGAAGCCAGAGAACTTTCTGTTTGCGAATAAGAAGGAGAATTCACCTTTGAAAGCCATTGATTTTGGGTTGTCAATCTTCTTCAAGCCTGGTAAATAATTTAGATTGTCACCGGATGCTAAATCTATTTACGTGAAGAACGAAGATATGTTAAAACTTGTTGCTCATTGTTCAGAACATAAATGGCACTTCTATTTGTCGGATTTATTGTTTCTTAGATTTAGATATCAAAAGACATTCTGTAGTTAGATATGATGGTAAGATAGGTATGATTGCTTATGAACTTTGCGTTTCTTGTTGCCTGAGTTTGAGTAGTTTTGCAGGCTCATTTAGGGCACATATACTGCTAATGAAGTCACTTGTCAATTATTCACACTTCAATATTTGAAATGTTCTGTGCCCTTTGCTTCAACTTGACAAAGGTTTACCAACTGCAACTCCAAATCATGCGGTGTTTGACTGAACCTGAGTGCCCATACTACACAATCCTCGGTACAGCTCACATAAGATGCTTTTTGGTCCTTGACAACGATGAACGAATAAGTGAACTGCACTGTCAGGGGTGATTGTCAAAAAAGTACATCCCTTGAACTCACCCTCTGGCTTTCTTGGCATCGAATTGATTTTTCTTGCAAATTCATCCCAAACTTCCATAACACCATTCCACCACATGGTCGGAACTGAATGTAGGCATGCGCTACCCCCTTCTCGTCCTTCACAAATCACCACCATGGGTTCTATGAGATATGAGAAACTCATTCTCATTTCAATTGAGTGAGGCCCAGTCTCTTTAAAATTTTGCATAATGTCTCTTGAAATCTGAATCTAATAAGGAATCACATCTAGCTTTGGAAGGAATTTTACCCTTACCCACAAGATACTGACTACATTTATGTATAAATTAGTACTGCAAAAGCTATGTTGGGTTTAAGTCATATTTAAAAAGGGATTTGGTGGGTTTTACTGGTTTATACTTACCAGCCAAAGAGGTATTAGTGCAGTATTGGAAGGTTAGATTGAGGCATATGAATTTTGAATTTCCTCTTAAAAAGTGGAGAATATATCTGGCTGAATTTAGAATGGACATGCTTCGCTATCAATTAGAATAAACCCTATAAAATAGATCAATAGCAATTTCTTTGCATAGTTTAGCTAAAATTGTTGAGCTTATGTAACTGGAATAGCCTTAGTTATGATGAGTTGCTCTCCAATTTATGGACATCTCGTTCCTACATTTTGGTCCCTGCTTTCACAAGCTTATCCCATAGCACTTCTATACTTCCCTTACTATTAATCCTCCCCTGTCACTCCATACTTATGCCACCCTTCCTGACAAGTTTATCCATCCACCTCATGTCTATAATGACTCCCCTCCACAACCCAATTAAAAGCCTGATTAATCACATTGACCTTAACTTGCCTAATGGCCCATTATTCTAACCAACTGCCTTTGCCCAAACTTATGGTACTTAAGACTCACCTTCTTGCTCACCTTACAGCAATTTCGGCTACAACTTCTCCACTGTATTAACCATTGTAGTGATTGGGACATAGAGATGCTAGATGGCTAATCACAGTGCTTTAAATCCACATCAACATGCCCCTTAGTTGATGGAAAACCTTGTCCAACATGCCACTTTCCTCTCAAAACCTTTCTATTGTAGGGTTCTAGATTACCTTGGCCACGGATGAAGTGTTAAAGAGGATACCTAGATGAATTGATGAACTTGGTGTTGTGAAAATGGAGAAGTTGTTTATTGTGGTATGCTTCAAAATGCAAATTGACAATGCTTAGCTTTCTTTTGACTGCATCAGCTAGGCACAGAAATTATTGATGGTGGACTACTTAACAAGACAAAGGGTCACTTTGGAGATTTGGATTCAGGCCAACCTGTAACCGGTGGCCTGCTATAGAGATAGCTAACTTCTCATAGTTTAGAAAAGTTTGATGGTGTGCGTGCTGTACAGCCTGTACTTATCTTTCACTGTCATGCCTATAAGTTGAAGTCCTACTCAACTGTTTGTGAGCCAATTCTGATGCCTTCCAAATAGGCTACCTAATACTAACATAGTTTCACGAGGAGAAGCAAATTGATTTATGAAACATAATTCACTGGAAATTCTACTTTATAGCAATATGCTTTTAAGTTCTAGTGTTCTACACTTCTAAACCTGCAAAATGTGTATGTTCTGACAATCTCTTTTTTAATACTAGTGAGACTATGTTGCTTGCAGATTGAGGCACAATATATGCACAAGGCTTATTTAGCATGGCACTATTTCTAATAGTTCAATGTCTCATTTGGTTGTTGCACTATTTAGAAACCTAGACGTGTTTATTTCCCACTGACGTTATCTAATACTAAATTCATAAATTGTAGGTGAGAGGTTTTCTGAAATTGTTGGAAGCCCATACTACATGGCTCCAGAGGTACTCAAGCGGAACTATGGACCAGAGATAGACATTTGGAGTGCAGGAGTAATCCTCTATATTTTATTGTGCGGGGTTCCTCCATTTTGGGCTGGTAAATACATTCCTATATCTTTGTGTGTGTGTTCGAGTTTCAGCGTTAGTATTTCTATATTATTATGTTTGTGTCACAATATCTCATTGGAGCCTATCTGTGGGCCACTGAATATGACTCCGTGATTATGTTTTGTCCTTTAATTCCTAGTTCTTTGAGTTTTGGCAGTTATTTTTGTCCTTTCAATGCAAATGCTTTCCCATGTGTCTAAAGCAAGCTTTTTAATGCAGAGTCTGAACAAGGGGTTGCACAGGCCATTTTACGAGGGACAATAGATTTTAAGCGAGAGCCATGGCCAAGTATTTCGGAAAGTGCTAAGAGTCTTGTCCGCCATATGGTGGAGCCAGATCCAAAGCTGCGACTAACAGCGAAACAAGTGCTTGGTATGTTAACTCTTATCTCTGCTTGCATATTTTCTTTGTTGAGGATGCATTGCATTTTGGAAAATTCGGCATCTTGTGAAGGACATGTTTCATATTGTGCACATACTAGACTTTAATTTGGAATGCAATTTTGGCTAGTCTTCAATTAGATAAGCTCCCGTGAATACTTGAATGTATGCACCCCTTGAATCATACTGGCAAACACACTACCATGACTAGTTAGATTTTTAGGAGTTGTCATGTTACACCTGTAATATATGTGACAGTGAGCCATTTATGATACAGTTCGTAAATCAGAGAGCACACCACACCCGTTTTCCACAGTTAATTGGTTTTATTTGGGACTTTTTCCCCATTTTTTGTTATACTTCAAATTGTACAAGTTCAGGTTTTTCTCAGTCTACCTATCCTTTTACTGCACATGGTGGGTCCAAGAGTATGTAATGGCCTCCGTCATTTATATTCCTTGTATAACTTCTCACCGTGGTTAGATTGCATTTATCATTTAAATGAAATAATGGATGAAAATAAATTTTTCTTATATTTCTAAGATTCAGGGACAAGTACAATGGAAGTTGCAATTCTGGATTAGTTTTATTTACTTTTGAAATGATTTTTGGATGATATATAGGGTATACTGAACGTAATGTTTTCTTGTAAGTAACCAAAAAGAAAAAAAGTTTGTATCACTGAAATAGTCATTTTAAATGTTGGACTTGAGGTATCATGTCAATATTTGTAAAATGTGGATTAGTTGGTATGTTACTGCTACCATTCAGCGTAGTGGACTGCTAAAGCTATGGTTAGTTGGGCCCCTGGTCCAGTTGTTTGTTTGGCAAAATACTATACATTAGCTCATTGTAGGTTTGGATCAAAGTTGATGATGTAGATCCAATAAAAGAAATATGGAATGGCAATCTACCCTCTTTGTATATATATATATATATACTAGTTATTCCTCGTGCCTGAAGATACGAAGTAATAAAAAAAATAGTCAACATATTTGTATTCACACCCAAAATTAAATCACAAACATAGAGAAGAAATAAAAAAATTTAAGTATTGTTTGTAATGAAGGTGAGCGGTGATAGTGGTGGTTGGCGACAGTGGTGATGATGGGAGAGTGATGGTTGTGGTGGGTAAGGCGACGATCGTGATGGTGGTAGCAGTCGAGGGTAGCAATGGTAATGGTAATGGTGGTGGTGGTTATGATAGGGTGGCGATAGTGATGGTGGTGGGGCGATGGGGGTGGTGGGATGGTTGCAAATACTATTTTTTTAAAAAAATATTTATTAGAAATAANGTGGTGGTGGTGGTGGTGGTAGGGGTGGGGACGGGACGGTTTCAAACACTTTTTTTTTTTTAAAGTACTTATGAAAAATAATTTTTAGAAGTACTTTTAAAAAGTTACTCCAAACACACCCTTAAGGGCTTATTTTTCCTATTAAATTTAGAGTTTTAATATTAGTCGTTAAAATAACTTTAAAATGAAATTTAAAGTGATCTCAATCGCGAATAGTAAAAATTATTTTGTTTATCTTTTAAAATTTGAATTGTATTATACTTTATTATATAGATAGAAATTACCCGTGCCTGAAGGCACTATAAAACACAAAAAAAATTGCAAAAGCCCAGGTCTCATCAAATTAAAAGGTGACATCCAACTTCTTATATATCAATTACAGAATATTTTGCGAGAAATGAAATGTGGGAATTATACAACTTTAAACCAATCACCCAATAGCTAATACATCAAAACCTAATAAAACAGCTCTCACCAATTTTTCAGTTTCACTAACATAACATAAAATAGTAGTCATGTTTCCACTAATTTTTGCATGATTTATGGAACAATGGATTGCCACTTTTTTGTTACCTAGTTCCCTCTGTCTATTTAATTCCTTTGAAGCACTTCGACTTTCAAAAAGTTGCATGATTTCAGCAAGTAAAACAAATATGTTGTATGTAGATGAAAGTCTAACCGGCAACTACCCCTTGATTTTTGCCAAGAGAATCGTGGGCTAGTTGAACCCATTGCTGAGTCCTAATCCTTACTGGAGCTTTTAGTGTGATGAATGTTGCTCACTACCAGAACGTAAGCACATAGAACAAATTTTATTCATGTGGCAAGATAAACTTACATCCCAATGGTTGAATAATTCCAAAATAGAAACATATTTCCAATACATTGTTCTTAGGAATAGCCTTAATTCCATGATTAAAAATAATTCAACCAATCTTATGTTGTTAATTCTCTAGTACCAATGGCATATTAATGACAAATGGATAAATTTATCCCCATAATCATGATTCAACAAACAACCAATAAAAATTTAATTACGTACCAAAACATATATAAAGGAGATAAACTATGAATAAGCTACCAAAACTACTATATCAAGGCTATTCTATAAAGTCAAAGAGGTAAATACGTGCAAACACGGAAAATTTTGATAAAGAGAAAATACAAAGAAAACCATCAATTAATATACAATTAATATGTGCAAACATGGAAACGAATGGAAAAAAAAAATTTACCAATTATTTTTCCTATTCTTCAATTAAATTTTCTTAGAAACCAAACAGAAAGTTTGGTAGATTCGCACTTTAGGCACCAGCAAGACTAACAACCAATTAATTACGATTTCACCTATTTATTACGGTAAACTAAACACAAGATTAGACCAAAGAATAACGTCTTCCATTAACATATCAAAAAATATCAAATTTTCATTAAATAAAAATCCCAGTTTGGTTGGTAAGAAAACATAGAATGAAATTTGAAATTCTATATCTTATGCATAAGGTGGGAACCTAGAAAACAACAAACTCAATAGTACAACCACATCTAACTCGCACAGTACAAAGATTANACATATCAAAAAATATCAAATTTTCATTAAATAAAAATCCCAGTTTGGTTAGTAAGAAAACATAGAATGAAATTTGAAATTCTATATCTTATGCATAAGGTGGGAACTTAGAAAACAACAAACTCAATAGTACAACCACATCTAACTCGCACAGTACAAAGATTAGAGTACAAATTTGTTTCCTTTCACGCATTGTTTTTAGCGACCATATGTGGGAAAAATATGCATCAGTTCTAAGAAAATTATCGTGCAAAAAAGCTCACTACAACCAATCTGATAACTATCTGAAAAAGAAAAACCATGATTAGTTCCAAATAATTAAAAACTTTGAATTTGCAAAACATAGAGAAGAAAACAAATCCAAAGCTCACCAATAACCAATCTGATGACCAACTCAAAATGGCTTGAACTTGAATGTGATGTGAGTGATACTCCCAACTAACAACTTCAATGCTATAAATACGAATAGAATTTGCATAACAGGGAAGAAAACAAAAATAAAAGGCCAAAAAATCAAATCAACTATAAAAAAATAGAACTTGATACTAAATAGGTATGATATACTAAAGTGCATATGACTTCAACAAAAAAATAGTCCACAAAAAAGAATCCCAAACTATGGAAAAAATAATAGGGAAAGTCAGTTAAATATGTAACATTAAATCATAGGGAAGAATTCTCAAATTTCACAGTTATTACCGCAGCTCACAAAGTTTCAACTGTGATAGATAGTGACATGGTCATGGTCTTCTCTTGTGGTATGTTGCTATAATTTTAATTTAAGTGTTCATGTTATTTGCAGATGGTAAATAAATTATATAAGCAGAGCATGAGCATAAACCCCTGTCCTCCAAACATTTTATGCAATATTTACCAATTCACTTCAGATGCACATTTGTTCACATAGTGCAAAGAAGGTAAACTTTTTAAATTCCAAGTTCTGAATCGAAATGTTTTAGCAAACATTAAAATGCTAAAACTTTCACTCAAAAGCAAACTAAATGAGAACCATAAGAGACAGAACTGTCTATGTGGCCAAACTGTGTAGGTGCACAACACAAAAAATTATCGATACCTATGAAAATATCAATGCCTAGACCGTGTATGTGTGTGTTTCGAGGGTGTTTCGCGGCAAATCCTAACAAACATCCTTAAGCAAAAATCGAAGTCAAGAATGTTGAGGACAATATCAATTTCGAAGTCCAAAATCGATGTTGAAATTTTTGAATTCAAAGTCGCGTGTATGTGTCGAGGGATTGGATGCTACTAATGTAAGAGAGAGAGAGGGAGAGAGTGAGGATACCAGGGATTTATATGCGTCGCTACCTTCGATGGCTTCAAGAATTCCTTATTTTGATGGCTTCAAGAATTGCTGACTTTGCAGTTTCTGGATCAGTCGAATGATACGAGGAAGTGCCCATCCCAATCATAAGAGCCTTTTCACCAGAACCTAATCTTACCTTAGGAACCATTGCCATGTTTTACAATCTCCCTGGTTCTCCAACAAAATTGAGTCCTTTGGGTTCTTCGATGTTTTCAAAAAGCAGTTTTATTACATGGACCACATGGAGGCACAGAGATGGAGAGGGAGAAGGTGAGAGAGTTACCTAACAGTGAATGATGGAGGCGCTAGGCGCTCTGATCTGAGCTGATGCGTGGTCATCAGCGGCATTGTCACTGCTGGAGGGGGAGGGAGATGGGTGAAAGAAAGAAGAGGCAAAGAGAGGTGGGAAAGAGAAACCGCGTGAGGCATCACTGGTTGGCGTCAGCGATGGCTCCGCGAGAGCGCACTACACCGTTGTCGCTGGTTGCTGCTCGTTGGGGGAGATTTTGGGGTTCTTAGAGAACAGACCGAGAAAGAGGCAGAGATAATTATGTTTAGTTTCACAATTAGTGCTAGATATATAAGAAGCGAGATGGGAGATTTAGGAGAGATGTTTACAGGATAGATGAGATTTGGGTGGAAAACAAAATTCTGTACTCACTATAGTTCGTTGGATTAATATTTATGAGATGATTTGATCCGTCTTTTATGTTGGGATTACGTTGTCTGCTAGATGTGTTTATGTTTTATCTCAAAACAATCTAAACCTCTCTTTGTCTCCAAAATTCAAATTCAGCTCTACTTTATATATATATATATATATATATATACACACATACATACATACATAGATATGTATGTGCGTGTGTGAGAGAGAGAGAGAGAGAGAGTCCAATGGTTCTGTATGGCAAACCAGAAACCTTACTCCCTTCCCTTCAGGCTTTAAGCACTAGAAGCTTCTGTTTAACCAAGCATGCTTGCTTTAAGATATGATGAATATTGGCGATTTGTGATTTGTATAGAATCTGGGATTCTTGTAGCTGAATAGTTTTTGTGTCGTTTGTATTTTGTATCGATCTTTCTATGAACTTCTCCTATGACAAAGCCATGTAGGATTTGTTCTATGCAGGCTAAAAGTTAAAAATGGGAGAGTTGGTCTAGCATTTGACCATTTATGTTGGATGCTTATTCTATCCCTAATTTGTGGTTTCTCTCTGCTCTCAGAGCATCCTTGGCTCCAAAATGCTAAAAGGGCTTCAAATGTTCCACTTGGAGATATTGTAAAGTCAAGACTTAAGCAGTTCTCGTTGATGAATAGGTTCAAGAGAAAGGCCCTGAGGGTTAGTTGATTGCGCTGTACCATTTGTATAATTTGTTTTCTTTTTATATTGTGCTGTGAAAAATTGATAATGTTCCTCTTTTATAGGTTATTGCTGATTTCTTGTCCACTGAAGAAATTGAAGGCATCAAGGAAATGTTCAGAAAGATGGACACTGACAATGACGGTATTATTTCAATTGAAGAACTAAAAGCTGGACTTCAAACATTTGGTTCACGGCTTGCAGAGTCTGAAGTGCAGATGCTTATTGAAGCTGTGAGTCTATTTGCTACCATGCCTGTCAGTCACTTGTAATTCACTATTATCTTGATCCAGTGGTTTGTGGAGGTGTTTTCCATTGTAGTTGTTTCCGAGGACATCCTTTGGTTTAAAATGTTTTTCCTTGGTCTGCATGATACAAATGTCGATGAATTTTCATCTAGGGTTGTATTTAGGGTTTTTTTAAGCATCCTGTTTCTTTCGAATGAAGGCTAAAGTTTGTTGTCTACAGGTAGATATTAATGGGAAAGGAACCTTGGACTACGGAGAATTTATGGCTGTTTCCCTCCATCTACAGAGGATGGCCAATGACGAGCATCTTCACAAAGCTTTCTCATACTTCGATAAGGATGGTAATGGTTACATTGAGCCAGAGGAGCTGCAAGATGCCTTGATGGAAGATGGAGCAGAGGATTGTACAGATGTAGCAAATGACATTTTTCAAGAGGTTGACACAGACAAGGTGAAGACTCGATAGTTTGCTAATTTTACAATTTTGAGCCTGTCAGATCTGAATATCATATTACTGTCTTCCTATGCAGGATGGTCGAATCAGCTATGATGAGTTTGTGGCCATGATGAAAACTGGGACAGATTGGAGAAAAGCATCTCGACATTACTCGAGAGGTAGATTTAACAGTCTGAGCATTAAGTTGATGAAGGATGGTTCACTTAACCTGGGCAGTGAGTGAGTTCTATGCATCACTGTCTCATTCATCCATAGTAGTGCGGCATTCATTCATCAAATATATTGGACTTGTTTCTTTTGTGATTATTTGTGGGGTTCTCTTGGTTAGATGGGTCCCCTTTTGATTGGTGGCCTATGAGGATCGCAGAGAGATAAGCATTTGTGATTTGCTGCTGCAAAATGTTGATTCTGTAGAAAACATCGCCTTATGGCTATACATGCAGCATGTATGATTCTGTCTTGTTTGCCTCTTTCAACTTTCTTTATTGTTTCTAGTTGACGCTGAGACACTCTGAACATCGTAGTCCTGTCAAAAAAATATGAATATCTTGTAGAAAGGGGGTGGGGTTCCTTCTTGTGTGTGCGCACGTCTTTCTTTCTGTTTTGTAAATACAATGATTCAGTCAACTACTGGCCACAGTTCTTTTTCCATTGTAATTGCCCACATTAACACCTATACGAGTCACTCGACATAACAGCAATGTGAGGGTAGTGTATATGATGACATCAGGGTTGGTCATGTTATTGTGCTTCAGATTCTCTTAAAATTTTTCGAGTTGATTATGAAGATGTTTTGTTTTCGCGTTGCCTGTTTGTTTTGGTTTCGATTTTCACTTTGCTTTTTTTCTCCGGCTGCCTTTTTTCTCAGCAGTTCCATGTTATCGTGGCAGGATTTCTTTTAATATCCCTAATTTTACTGGCCTAAGGTTGGTTTNTTTTGGTTTCGATTTTCACTTTGCTTTTTTCTCCAGCTGCCTTTTTTCTCAGCAGTTCCACGTTATCGTGGCAGGATTTCTTTTAATATCCCTAATTTTACTGGCCTAAGGTTGGTTTTATGGGACAGCAGTGGCTTGCTTTTTAATTTGTTCTACTAGAGTTGGTCCAAATGAACTTGATGATCACATTTGACGGTGCTGTTCTAGAGTTGCTTCTTCGTTGTAGTCCTTCCTGTTAGCGGCAATCAATCTTGAAAATAGTGTGTTTTGTCCTCTCCTCTCTTACTCCCAACCTCCTTTTTTTTTGTGTCACTATTGTAAAGTTCACAAGAGAGGGGTTGAGAAAGTTCGAACCCATAATTTATCGATCTAATTGCAGGCTGTGGGTCATTAAGCCACTGCTAACTTCTCTTATCCCCAACCTCTGAAATCTGAAGTAGCAGTGCCTAGACATGACCCTTTGATGGGATTTTTCTCTAAGGTTGATAATTCCGAACATGTCAATCCAATAGACACGAAATTACCGGTATGTGTTTAAACTCTAGGGTTTGGATTATAACTACTATAGATTGTCCCACATCAACATAACGGCCGTCTTCGAAATTAATGCATTGAGCCTTGTGGTTTTTACACTTAATTTTAAACTGGTTCTGAGTTGTGTACTTCAATAATAACTTATAGTATCTCATCAGCCTCTCTTAATAAATAGAATAGTACTAATCCAGTTATATATAATACAAGGTTAATTGTACACAATTTATATGCATGATGGACTACGATATGAATTACATTATGCACCATTATGAATGAGTTATGGATGAATTAAATAACACGTAACTCAGAGATTTTAGGTTTANTAGTATCTCATCAGCCTCTCTTAATAAATAGAATAGTACTAATCCAGTTATATATAATACAAAGTTAATTGTACACAATTTATATGCATGATGGACTACGATATGAATTACATTATGCACCATTATGAATGAGTTATGGATGAATTAAATAACACGTAACTCAGAGATTTTAGGTTTAACATTTTTCATACTCTTTTAGGGCTAACCACAATTGTTCTTTAGGAAACATGTTCTAATCTTGTTTGGACTACGGTGGTTAGTATTCAAATTTGATGGAGTAGTTGACATAAATTTGAACATTCTGTAGCAAAAAAAAAAAAAAAAAGGAAAAATTACACTAGATCTCTTAAGGTTTGTCACTTATTCACCTAGATCTCCTCGCATTTAATATATTACGCCTAGATTCCTTGAGATTTGTGCACATGAAACACATAACTTCTCTCGCCAGTGTCCGTTAAGTTAACCGTTAAAAATTCATGATACAGAACATATATTTGTTTGTTATCATTTAAAAAATCGGTAATAGTGAGTGATTTATNCTCCGTTAAGTTAGCCGTTAAAAATTCATGAAACAGAACATATATTTGTTTGTTATCATTTAAAAAATCGGTAATAGTGAGTGATTTATCTTTTTATTTTCTTTTAACAAACAGTGGAATAAGGAAACCAAAAAAAAGGGATGAAACACAACAAATATTTCACAAAAAAAAAAAAAAACCTTGATGTACAAAAAACTCTAATGAGAACATATATTTTAACAAAAACTTGATTTACAAGAACCCTAATTAGAATAGATTTATTTATTTATTTTTTTAATATTGATGTACCAAAAATCATGCCCTATCACATCATATATTCAGATTAACACCAATAATCAAACAAACATATAATTTATTTTAACAATGTCCTAATGAGTATGTTCTAACAAATCTGCAAATAACTAAAAACATACAATTAGAATTCTGAATTATTTTCTTAAAATTCGTAAAAAAATAATTTTTCAATAGAGATTGGCCAATTTTGAGCGGCTACCTTAACGAAGAGTGATGATAATACTTATATGTTACACGCATACAAATTTTACAAGTTTTAGGTGTAATATGTTAAATATGAGAGGATTTAAATGATTAAGTGACAAATTTTAAAAAATTTAAGTATAATTTATCCAAAAAAGAAAACATTCACACAATTTGGATCTAACACTACAACATCAATCAATAGGATCTTTGGTGCATTGGTATTTTTTATCTTATAAAAATTTAACCTTTTTGAGATCAAAAGTTCGAATTTTCCTTCGTAAAAAGAAAAAAATGCATCCGAACCATCCTTGGTTCTAATTTCTCTCATGTTTTTCAATGCACTATTTTGTTAGATATGTTATTTGTTTTGGTGTGCAGTAGTCCTTTACCAGCTATCTATCTATGTCGGTAAATCTTTTATTTCTCGTGTTGTTTGGTACTACTCCAATGTGCCAAATGTTGCTCTCATAAAAATCAAAATTTGCATCTATTACTTTAAAAATTAATATTTTTAATAAAATAATATTATTTAAACTTAATTTATTGTCATAATCTAACACAAATATTGGATTGATTACGGTCCCATCAAATACTAAGATTCATTACTAATTCAATGATTATGAATAATTATGTCAATAAATTAGATTAGTCAATTAAGTAAGAGTAGCATTGTTCTAATTAGGGCGAATTGCACTTTGTACCTTTAAAAATTTTAAGATTCTCACTTTGCACCCTTAGTTTATACAAAAAGTTGCAATGTGACATTTTCGTTAGTTTTTTCGTCAGTGTCAATGAATTATACTTTAACGGAAAAAATAATGGAAGTTAACATAAGGATTATATTGTAACACTTTTAATACATTGAAGATGCAATATGAAAAATTTAATCTTTGATATTCTAATACTCCGTTTAGTGGAAAAGATGAAAAGTAGAAATGATGGAAAATAGGAATTATACATTTTCTATCCTCCAAAATAGGAATGATACACTTTCTTTCTTTTGTGTTTAGTAGGATGGATGAAAAGTAGAAATGATTAATTTTTTTTGTATTTGTATTAATGAAAAAATGATATAATTGATAAACATGATATATGTATATATTAAATGATATATAGACAAATAATATACATTTTAACACACATAATTAGCTTTTCATCTACTTTCCTCCCAATTTTAGAGGGATTGATTTTGATGAGTTGGAAAGAAAGTTAATTCATCTATTTTTTAATTTTTTCTATTTTTTTACTTATCAAATATAATATTTTATTCATATTTCAAACTTTTCATTTTTTTAAGGGTTAATTGTAAATTGCACCCTAAAGGATTGCTTGAATCTCAATTTACACCCTCAAAGATCATAAATTTTAATTTGCAACCTCAGAAATAAAAATTTGTATCAATGTGGTACCCCTAAAGATAAAAAATCTCAATTTATACCATCAAAGATAGAATTTTGTATCAATGTGCACCTAAAACTAAATTGATAAATTATACCTAGATCCCCTCATATTTGTCACTTAATCATTTGGACTCAGTCACATTTAGAATATTACTCCTACATATCATGACTTTTGTGCACATGTAACACTTAACTCATTTTCGTTGATATCTGTTAATATAACCGTTAAAAAATATAATTTTATCCTAATAAAAAAATTATAATTTTATATTACCCTTTATTTTATGGGTCTAATATACTCTAAAGTTCAAAATCAAGCTTATCATTTGAACGCCTAATAGAATAAAGGGTTGCACATTGAGTGATATATTGCATTGGATATAAAAAAATATTATATAAATATCTACATTCTATTGGATATTTAAATAGTAAACCTGATTTTGAATTTTAGAGTATATCGAACGCATAAAATAAAAGATAATATAAAATTATATTTTTTTATTAGATAAAATCATATTTTTTTATTAGGATAAAATTATATTTTTTAACGGTTATATTAACNAAATTCTGAATTATTTTCTTAAAATTCGTAAAAAAATAATTTTTCAATAGAGATTGGCCAATTTTTAGCGGCTACCTTAACGAAGAGTGATGATAATACTTATATGTTACACGCATACAAATTTTAGAAATTTTAGGTGTAATATGTCAAATATGAGAGGATTTAAATGATTAAGTGATAAATTTTAAAAAATTTAAGTATAATTTATCCAAAAAAGAAAACATTCACACAATTTGGACCTAACACTACAACATCAATCAATAGGATCTTTGGTACAATGGTATTCTTTATCTTATAAAAATTTTACCTTTTTGAGATTAAAAGTTCGAATTTTCCTTCGTAAAAAAAAAAAAAATGCATCCGAACCATCCTTGGTTCTAATTTCTCTCACGTTTTTCAATGCACTATTTTGTTAGATATGTTATTTGTTTTGGCGTGCAGTAGTCCTTTACCAGCTATCTATCTATGTCGGTAAATCATTTAATTCTCGTGTTGTTTGGTACTACTCCAATGTGCCAAATGTTGCTCTCATAAAAATCAAAATTTGCATCTATTACTTTAAAAATTAATATTTTTAATAAAATAATATTATTTAAACTTAATTTATTGTCATAATCTAACACAAATATTGGATTGATTNCTAGGTGTAATTTATCAATTTAGTTTTAGGTACACTTTGATACAAATTTATATTTTTGAGGGTGCACATTGATATAAATTTCTATTTTTGAGGGTACAAATTAAAATTTTTGATTTTTGAGGGTACAAATTAATATTCAAACTATCTTTCTGGATACAACTTGCAATTAACTATTTTTTTAATTTTTCACGCTTTTTTTTTTATCATCTATCAAATGGAGCGTAAAGTTCCCAAAGCCGTCTAGTCAGTANATTTTTTTGTCAGTGTCAATGAATTATCTTTTAACGGAAAAAATAATGGAAGTTAACATAAGGACTATATTGTAACACTTTTAATACATTG